GTTAAGGATCTTGATTAGTATTGCTAAAGTACCAGATAATTTCAATAAGAAAAGTTTAAGTTAGTCCTAAAGAAGATTAAATTACATGTTTTAAGGTATAAAGTAGTCTGATAAATGTGCTAAGTTTTATAAGATGTTTATTAAGAGTTTAATAATTTCATAGTGATTATTGCATTTTACTGTCTTAAATTGTGCTAGATACTCAATGATAAAAGTGGAAGTAATCTTAAAAGAAAAATTGAGATCACTCCCAAAGAAGAGAATTGTTGAAAATGATAAAATTTTTCTAATTTTTTTAGTGTTCCTAGTTAACAAAAGCTGTGTGAAGGAAATCACCTCGCTTTTCTCCACTAAACAGTCCTTAGCACTAAAAATACCTAAACACAACACTTCCTTTTCTGGGATCTTGTCCTATTAGAAAGTAACATATATAAAGATTCAATTTACTATTTTGTATTTCTTTAGATTAACTAGAAAATGGACATGTAATGACTTCTGCAGTTAAAAGACACCTGAGGGACATGGACAGCAGTAATCACATTGTGGTGACCTATTTCCAATTTTTACCTTTCTCCAGCATTCCAGAGATCCAAGGCTCTCTCTTTTGTCTGTTACTGTTCATGTACCTCAGTACTTTGGTGGGAAACATCCTCATCATCACAATCACTATGGTAGATGCTGCCCTTCACTCTCCCACGTATTTTTTCCTTAAGAACTTTTCCTTCCAGGAGGTTAGCTATACCACATCCACCATTCCCAAGACGCTAGTGAACTTTCTCACAAAGAGGAAGAACATATCCTTTCTGGGCTGCGCCACACAGATGTACGCTTTCTCCCTCCTCGGGATCACAGAATGCTGTTTGCTGGCTACCATGGCCTACGACCGCTATTTGGCCATATGCCAGCCTCTGCACTACACGACCATGATGAGGTGGAACACGTGCTTCTTGCTTTCAGCTGTGCCTTGGCTTACTGGGGTCTTGGTGGTCTTAGTGCAGACAACTTTCATCTTTACCCTTCCATGCTGTGGTCCCAATGGGATCGATCACTTCTTCTGTGACCTGCTGCCTCTGCTTAAGTTGGCTTGTGTGGCCACCTGCAAAAATGAAATCACCACCTACATAATAGCTGTCCTTTTCATCATAGTCCTCTTCTTATTCATAGTCCTTTTCTTATTCATATATCCGGATTCTCCACACCATCTTCAAGATGCCATCAGTGAAGGGCAAGGGAAAAGCATTCTCTACCTGCTTTTCTCACCTAGTCGTTGTCACTCTGTTTTACGGACCTGGCATTGTGACCTACTTGAGACTCAAAGCTTCTTATTCAAGCAGCAGTAGCAAATTGCTTTCTCTTTCTCACACGCTGTTGTCTCCAGTGATGAACCCCTTGCTTTACAGCTTGAGGAACAAAGAGGTGAAACAAGCCTTTTAAAAGAGCTGTAGTCAAAAATAGAAATATGTAATATGTTTATGAATTATATTAAATGTAGTAGTAGCTTTGATATTGTGTGTATTGCTGGAAGGACAACATGATTTGCCAGCACTTACCCAAAAATTAATCTCTACCTTCCAGCTTTGAGTCAATCCTCCAGGTAATTCAGCCTTTAAAAAAAGGGAAAAAAAAGGTTGTTTCTCTTCAGATTCTTTCTTATATCATCTTAAGATAGGTTTGGCATCCAACTCACGTGAATCACCTGCTACTGTATCCTCTATGTCCTGTCCATCAATACAGAAATAGTTCTTTGCTTTGCAGATGTATATACCTGTGATAAGATGAAATTCACTATATTCTCTGAATATCGTGAAAACATTTCTGTGTAGCTTTTCTAAAAACACATTATGACGAGTGCAAGAAATTATCAGAGAAGGGGACAGTGGACCTAATGAGAAGTACTATGCAAATATTTAAGACATTAATCTTCTGGTGAGTTCTGATGAAGAGATTTCCCAGATGAGCTCTTCAACTCTACTTTGTGAAGAAAGTTTATTTGAAAGTTTATTTGAAAGTTTGAAGGGGTAAGGTTTCTCTTTGCTTCAAATACACAGTTTATCTGTTCTAAACCAGATTTCTGCCATAGAAAGAGACAACCTATCACTTAGACATCTTCATTGCTGTATGTTTGTTTTTGAAGTCAAAACAGTGAATTTATACCAACATATGTATATCTCAGGTTTCTGAATTGAAAACAGAAAACAATGTCTCTTTTTGTGTAAAAAAAAAAGGTTGACTGTGGAATGACAGAAACTACTTGAGTGTTAAGGAAATGGATGGTCACAGGGAAGCTGATTTGAGACATGAAATTTTTAAAAGTCAGGCTAAAACTTTAATTATTTTTCCTTTTTTTTTTCTTCTGGTTTTGCTATGTACTTGTGAGAGGCGTGTCTAAAGGCACAAAGGATGTGCCGAGGTAACAGAGCCCCAGAGAGCATACCCCGACATAAGTAACCTGGTTGGTTAAAGAAGTCACATGGTGTTACGGAATAAAACCCCGCGGAGTTTGAAATAAAGTCTCTCTTTGTCCACACCACCGCACGAGGAGCGTACTTATTCCTTGTTATACAAGGACCCCGCCGTTACATGTACTCACTTGGAGGATTCATAGGATCCTAGTTTACCTCTTCACTCTTCACTTTTTCTTTGCTAAGCTAAGACAGTAGATGTGGAATTAGTCGTTCAAATGGGAGAAGCATAAGAGGGTGTTTTGCACCAGGAATTGCTAGTTCATTTTGATCCTAGTAAGACAGACACAAAGGTTGTGTCAAGGATACAGATTTGTGTCAAGGATCATTTCAAGTGATTTAGTAGAGTTTACACCATAAAGAAGAGGATAATAAAGATAAAATTGCATCACTTCAGATTCTGGGAACCTGTACACTGGGACACTAGGAGGTATTGAAAAACACCTGAAGGAAAATGCAGTCATCAGTCACAGCCAGCATGGAGTCATGCTTGTCAAATCTTCTGACCTTTCAGGAGGTAACCCACCTAGCTGACCAAGGGAAGCCAGCTGATGTAATCTTTTTGGATTTCACTAAAGCTTTTGATACTGTTTCTCGCAGGATCTTTCTGGGCAAAATGTCCAGCCGACAGCTGGATAAACACATCGTGTGATAAGTAAGCAATTGGCTCATGGGTGAAGCACAGAGGGTAATAATGAACGGGGTGACATCAGACTGGTGACCTACCCATAGTGGAGTTCCACAGGGCTCCATCTTAGGCCCAGTGCTGTTCAACACTGTCCTCGTTAGAACAGCTAGGACCAGTTCATCACTGTGTGGGTGTAACATACACTGTGTATTCCAACCCTCCATGTAATTTCCCAGAAACTGTTAACAATAGACCATTTGCAGCAGCTGCCCAGAGCACACCTGACTCCTCAGGCTATAGTTATGGGTGATGTTAACTCCCCTCCAGGGAGTCATTAGCACCTCCACACCCAGCCGGAGGGGTCATGTCTGCTAAGGACCACCAAGGATTCCAAAAATATCTCACCCATTGTGGAACTCCCCACCCTGGGGGAAGTACTGGGCATTCCTGCCTGAACTTGAGTGCATATAATAGTGGGGTCTTGGGACTTCTGGTACCATTCGTTGGATCCAAAGGAGGACCAGAACCTCGACCGGACTGCAACCACCACTCTCGACCGGACTGTGATCACCACTGTCGACCAGACTGCGGTCACCACCCTCGACCGGACTGTGACCAGCACTCTCACCAACAGGTTTTTCCCTCTCCTTTTACTTTGGACTCAGGGGGGCCCAACGAACACCACTCCGTTCATGCCCCAGGGTGCTGGGTTATACATCTGGGTTTTGTGGGTTAAAACCAATTGTTCATCTGTATAATTGTATTTATTGTATTATTTTTATTGAATTGTTATTCTGACATAATCTCTTTTGAGTTGAGTTCATTTCCCTTGCCAGTTTACCTTTAAACCAGCACAAACACCTTCATAAACTTGGATGCAGGACTGGAAGGGATACTAAGTAAGTTTGCAGATGATACAAAATTGGAAGGAGCTGTTGACTCCCTGGAAGGCAGAAAGGCCCTGCAGAGAGATCTTGGCAAATTAGAGGGCTGGGACTTCACTTGAGGACTTCACAAGCCGTATGATGTTTAACAGCAAGTGATCGATTCTGCAGCAGGGATGGGGCAACCCAGGATGCACAGAGAGACTGGGGAATGAGAAAGCAGTGCTGCAGAAAGGGACCTGGGGGTCCTGGTTGATGGCAAGTTCAATACGAGCCAACAGTGCTCTGGCAGCCAGGAGGGCCAACCGTGTGTCCTGGGGGGCATCAGGCCAAGCATCACTGCCTGGTCCAGGGAGGGGATTGTCCCACTCTGCTCTGCCCTGGGATGGCCTCACCTGCAATATTGGGGCAGTTTTGGGCACCACAATAAAAAAAAGACATCAATCCATTTGACAGCATCCAAAGGAGGGCAACGAGGATGGGGAAGGGCCTTGAGGGGAAGCCATGTAAGGAGCAGCTGAGGGCACTTGGTCTGTTCAGCTGAAGAAGAGGAGACTGAGGGGAGATGTCATTGCAGTTACAACTTCCTTGGGAGGGGAAGAGGAGGGTTAGACACTGTCCTCTGTGAGGACTAGTGACGGGAGCCTAGGGAATGGCCTGAAGTTGTGTCAGGGAAAGTTTAGGTTGGATACCAGAAAGAGGTTCTTCACCCAGAGGGTGGTTGGATGCTGGAATAGGCTCCCCAGGGCAGTGGTCACAGCCCTAAGCCTGAGAGAGCTCAAGAAGCATGTAGATGATACTCTCAGACACACGGTCCAACTCTTCAGGATGGTCCTGTGCATGGCCAGGAGCTGGACTCAATCAGTAATTCTTGTGGGTCCCTTCCAACTCAGCATATTCTGTGATTCTGTGATAAAATCTCCCTGACCCTTTTCCTTTCAAACCTGCAAAACACACCTTTCTCAGTCTTCCCTTGCGCATTTTGTGCACTAGCTCCCTCACCATCTTTATGGCCTTCCTCTGGACTCACTCAAGTATAGGAGTATCTTCTTTGTTCTAGGGAGCAGAAAAACAGGACACCATGCTTCAGACGAGATCTCAGAAGTATCGAATAAAAGGAAAGAATCCCTTCACTTGTCATGGTGGCATCACTGCTGCTAGCATGGCCCAGGATACAGCTGCCCCTTTCTGCAAAGGCATTTTGCTCATTCATATTCACTTTGTCCACTTGGATGCCCCCAGATGTTTTTCTGCAAAATTCTCTCCTAACCAGTGAGACCTTAGCCTGTTCCATTGCTATTCTATTTGTGGCTATCTTCATTATGCAACCTTAATGAGGAAAACACTCTTTTGGGTCTTGGTGGGGACAACATGGGCTGTTGGATTCACAAATTCGTCCAGGTTGTATTTGTTGTTCATCTTCCCTTCTGTGGCCTAAATGAACTCAACAATTTCTTTTGTGATGTTACACAAGTGATTAAGTTAGAATGTACCAACACTTACATATTGGAGTTTACTATGTTTGTCAACAATGACCTAGTCATCTTTATATGTTTCATTTTTCTGCTGATTTGCTACAAGGTCCTACTAATCTGTCTGAAAACACTCGATCTCCAGAGGGGAGAGCAAAGCAGCAACTACCTGCGCTACCCACATCATTATTGTCTTTGTTATGTTTGTACTAGCTATATATATATTTACTGCTGGCCTTTCTACATGTTGCCTCTGGGCAAGGTAGTGGCTGTGTTCCACACCATGGTTTTTCCCCTTATCACCCCCATGATCTACACCCTGAGGAACAGGGAGATCTTCAGTGCCATGAAATGTTTGTTGGTGCAGTACTTTCTGGAGAGAAGGAAACAGAAAGGAAATGCATTCATAAAGCACAGAATTACAGTATTCTTTTGTTTTGGAACAGTTTACAGGAGAACATCCAACTTAGGACTGGTAGTCGGGGTGCTAGGAGGAACTGTGTCTCAGTGCCAACCACTTCTGAGGCTGCTTGTATGCCTTCGTAGGCTGCCAGAATTTCCTTTTCCACAGGAGTGTAGTTGGCTTCAGAACCCCTGTAGCTTCGGCTCCAGAAGCCGAGTGGTCGCCCTCGTGTCTCACCAGGCACCTTTTGCCAGAGGCTCCAGGAGGGACCTTTATCTCCAGCTGCATTGTAAAGTACGTTCTTCACGTCCGGTCCCGTCCGAACTGGTCCAAGAGCCACGGCATGTGCAATCTCTTGCTTGATTTGTTTGAATGCCTGCTGCTGTTCAGGACCCCATTGAAAGGTATTCTTTTTACGGGTCACAAAGTGAAGAGGGCTCACAATCTGGCTATACTCAGGAATGTGCATTCTCCAGAAGCCTATGGCCCCCAGGAAAGCTTGCGTCTCCTTCTTGTTGGTCGGTGGAGCCATGGCTACAATCTTATTGATGACATCTGTTGGTATCTGGCGTTGTCCATCTTGCCATTTCACCCCTAGGAACTGGATCTCTCTGGCAGGTCCGTTGACCTTATTCTTCTTGATGCCGAAACCGGCATCAAGGAGAATCTGGATGATTTCCTCTCCTTTCTCGAAAACTTCTTCCACTGTGTCCCCCCATACAATGATGTCATCAATGTACTGGATATGATGGCCAAGGTCATGGTTTGAGATCTCCAAAAGTCCAATTCCCTAGTCCAAGCCCCCCTCCCACATCTCAACCTAGTGTAAGATGTGTTTTCCAGACAATCACACCAGACTCAAAATGGGGGAAAGGGTTGTATTACAAGACTGTACACATAAAGAAATATTATAATACATTATACACACGATCTCAGCTATCTCTACCATGACATAAGCATTTACAATGGATCAAATCTCTTCTCCCCTCCTAATAAAAGTCCAGGAGGGAAGAAGGACAGATCCCTTCTTCAAAGCAGCAATGTCTCTAAGGCAGCAGGTTCTCTTCTTCTACGCAGCAGCTGATAGCTGGATCTTTGCCAGCACTCACGAGGGAGGCCTCCAAGCCCCTCTCGGCCCCTTGACGCAGGCAAAGGGGTCTTCCGTGGGCTACGTTCACCCCAGACAAAGGTCGTTCCACCACGGTCATATCAACGGAGCACAGGAGTCTCTGTGACGGTCTGGTATCTTCAGGGGACTCAAACCCCTTGCAGAGCTTCTGGCTCTGATTCCAAGCTGCTAGCTTCTCTATAGCTGCAGCGAGGGAGGGTCCAAGGTCCACCTCCCACTCATTTTGTCCTGGCTGAGCTCTCAGGACGACTGAGCTTCTTAGCTCTTCTCTGCAGTGCATGTCGCACTTCTCCCCTCCCTTCTAGGACGTGAGGGGTCTCCAAGGAGTTTGGGGGGTCTGGTTCAGTTCTTACCCCCAAAACTCTGTCTCTCAGCTGCTGGTTCTCGTTCTCGTCCTCTCTCTCTCCTTCCAGGAGTTCTTTCTGTGTTGCTGCCTGCCTGTTGTTGCTGCTGGTCTTATCTCTCTTGACTCCCTGCCACCGTTTCTTCGGTCAGCACAATTCTGCCGCTGACGCTCACAGTGAAGAAACATCTCCAGGTTCAGCTACAGACACTTAGTCCAGTTTAACACTGTTCCAAGTCTCTGCAGCCCCCAACTGGGGCTGGGGGGCCCCAGAGGCCCCAAGGGGCTCCGAGCCCCCTTCCTCGTGGTCTTACAACATGGCTACCTCTTCTTCTGCAACCCAAACTACAACTACCCTTCTCTTCCATTTGCTTGTGATATGTTTATATTTTGCAGAAGCACTCATGGGCTAAAACTTCAAAACTTCAAGGCTTACCACCCCCTGGGGGTTACCACTTTATAACTGCAGGGGGAAAACCTGGTTCAAACCACTACAAGTTCATAGGTCTTATCAGTGGTCCAGAATATTAGAGATATTTCTTATAGATAAATATTGAATGTCATTGCCTTGCTTTGTCAGGTCTAAATATTTCCAGTGCAGTGAGTATCATCAGATTTTTATAAATAAATAGACATAAATATCTGGGGTGTAAAATAAGTTACTGCAGTACAGTAGGTAGACAGTCTGTTTGTTCCTTTCTACTAGTGGATAACCAAATCAACATCAGAGCAAATAAGAACCAGGAAACCTTTTTCTTCCAAGTACTGGGCATTAGTATAAAATGGGAAATCTAATTCTTGTCCCATGTAGTGAGAAGGTTAGGTTTGATTCTTCAGTAGAAATTTCCTTATAATAAACTTACTAACGATGAAGTAAGGACAGGGAGCAGATTTTAAAGATCTTTGAAAATCATATCTTGACTAATACCTGAATTGCACTCTTGGGACATGAGTGGAAAAGAGACAAGGAAAGGAAAATGGATCTGCCTCAGGCCACAGTCCCATGGAGAGCTCAGCCTTGCACTTGGCCACTAGAGCTGTTTCACAGCTCATGGGCACCCCCAGAGTGGCAGCAGAGCCTCTCTGCTCTCCACAGCAGGGCCTGCCCTGGACACAAAGGTGTGAGGTCAGGGATGGGGGAGCCCAGGATGAGGGACTCTGGGGATCCTGTTTCTACAGTGAATGGGGCCTTCCATGAGGGCAGCGCGTACCATAGCAGTGCCCGAGCTGAGCGCAGCACTGGGCTGCATCCGGACCTTCAGCCTGCCCAGGGAGTCCTGGAGCCCCATGATGGAATGTTGCCAGTAGAAGGCACAGCCCATTCTTGGGGAGCTTTGTCAGTGAACAATTATACTGAAGCAATTATATTAAAGCTAGCAAAACAGTTATTAAGAGATTAGATCTTATTAGAGATCGAGGTTACTCACTCCTACCAACAACCGTGGACAAATCTGTTTTGCTCAGCCTTGAGGAGTGACCTTGAGGGGCTTCCCCACTCAAAGGAACACCTTAGGGAGGTATGCTAGAAGTCCTTGGTATGCAAAAGTGGGACTGGACTTTTATTGTATAAAGTGATTGACTATCAGTCATATACATCTTTAGATTATGTGTTTTCAGGCTTACTCAGTAATTTTACTTAACTTTCCTAATTAATTTTTTTAAGTACTCTTATTTTCCACCCTGTGATACCCCACTATAGCCAGCATTTAGTAAGGTTTTATCATAAGCTTCTATAGTGGGAATGCAGCTTGGGAAAACTACTGAAACTTTGAGTTTTGTTAAAACAACTATAATCAACCTTGATATGCTTCAATGATCTCAGACCTGGGGAAGAGAGATATTGCTGACATGGGACACAAGGAATGCAGAATTTATGTACCAAAAGGACATTTTGCAGAACCCCGAGACAAAGAAGGAACTAACAAAGACAATTTGGCAATTGTACTGAAACCCTGTCTATCTGGGAGAAATAATGAAAGCACCTAAAACATGGACTAATAGCATGAGAAGCAAGAAATCAATAACTAAGATAGAATACTAAATAATGAACTGAATTATGCAATTTATAGCCCATGAACATTAATTTCTTAGTTTGATAAAATGTGTAAATCGTGAAAAGTTTTGAACTTGCACGCGCATCTTTAGAGGAGTGATCCCCCATGAAATAAAGTATTACCTGCTTCCTAGTACTAAAAATAGTATTTGAGAGTTTGATTTATCCTGCATACATTTTGGGCTCCAGTAGTGGGTCTGATAGTTTGGGCAAGTGGGTCTCAGCATTCTTCAACACTAAAAACAGCAGACCCTCCTTGCTCACTCCTATCAGTGATCAGCAGACCATCCTTGCTCAAGCCATCACTGACAAGTCATACACAAGACACAGCTGGAGCTGCTATATCCCTGCTTAGGCAGAGCATCCAGCTCCAGCTGGCACAGCTCCCTGAGCAACACTTGACTGGCACTCCGTCACTTTACGCTAGAAAAGCCCTGTTCCCAGATTTTAATGGGAGGGACTTCTAACAGCTCCTTCTTGGAGTGTGTGTGGGGATTCCTGCCTTGAGCGGGGACAACCATCAAGGTTACTCCTTGAGCCTGAGAGAAAGCGATTTGCCCGTGGCCCTTCACAGGGGTAACATCAATCTCTACTTAATATTTGTTTTGTTAGCTTTGATATAATTGCTTCAACACTGTTTCCAAATACTGCACTATGTTAGTAGCTATAATTATCTACAACGCGGAACAAATAATTCTGATTAAAGTATTTTAGTATTTATTATTTTATTATTTTAATAATATTTATTATAATATTACTATCTATTGATGAATATATACAACATGTAGTATATATATTCTGCATATATTTCTATAATATATTTCTCTATATATTTCTATATTTCTCTATATATTTCT